CATATGTTGATAAAAGGCCATAAAATCAACACTCTCATTCATATCTGCTATTACCGTATTAATGTGTTAAATAATATCTTCTTTAGTTTCTGGATATGGATGTAATTCATAATATCTGTTCTTTAAACATGAAAATACTTCTTCTACAGAATTTAACTGGGGAGAATATGGGGAAGATATCCGTATCTAATATACTTATCCATTAAAAATTGAATTATCAGTCCTGTTTATGAAATCTTAAGTTGTCCATGATAAAAATTTTATTTTTAAACAATTTTGCTTTATTGCATGGCTTGAGAAATTCTAAGAAAATTTCAGTGTTGAAAGATCCTTCAATAACTGAATGTTTTAAGATGGCTCTGACTGATATTAATGCAAGTAGACTGATATTGCGACTTTTTTTAGCAGGAACAATTGTAAATACAGGAGTGTTTGTGAATATTCGAAATTTGAATCTGGTTTCATCCAAGAATAACATTTGAGAATAGTCAATATTTATACATCGAATAAAATAACTTTTTCTTTCACTAATTATTCTTGGTGAACAGGTGACATAAGAGACCTTTCTTAATCTTTATCTTGTAGTTTCGTATTATATATAGTAAGGTAAAAAGATATAGATTGTTGGTATATTGTTATTCCATTTTCTCGAAGCTTTCTGGCCATTCCACCCTGCTTAAGTGAATAAGCTGATATATAATTATAAATAAACTGATATATAATTATTAATAAACTGGTTTATAATTATTAATAAATCGCTATACAACTATTAACAACCCTGTAAAAACAATCTTGGTAATTTATCAGTTGATGTGAATGGTGAAATCGCACATGTACTGAAGTACTGTGCTGACAGCTATCGTTAAGCATATTTTTTCAAAAGTTGCTAGATAGCGGTTGTTATCCTAAAATAGGTGAAAAGATTATTTATACCACTGTTCATGAAAGGAAAAAGACTTGAGCCAGGTTAATTACCTATAACCTTAACATTTATTCTATGTAAAGTGATGGAGAAAATAATACGTGACAGTATGGACGAATTTCAACAAATCAACATTGTTTCATCAATAAAAAAGCGCGTGTGACTAATTTGTTGGAGTCAATAATGATCTCAAAAGGGTTATTTGACAAGGTAACTATGGACGTAGCATTCATAGATTTCAGTAAAGCGTTTGATATAGTTCCACACAAGCAACCGATTCACAAACTTGAGGCATTTGATTTCACTGGAAATCGTCTGAATTGGATAAAATCGTTTTTGCACCAGCAGTTGCAACGAATCTTGATGATTGATTTCGTGTCATCAGGGCCTCCAAGAGGGAGGGGCAATTGAAATAGTTTGCTCCGGGCATCACAGTCTATGGGGCATCACATGTCTTTTAAAAATTATTGTAATGATAAAAAATTTAGATGATAACATATTTAAAGCTTAAGCAAACTTTGTGTAATAATTTTGTTTGCCTTTAAAACTTTGTTTATATTTAAAGTAGGTTAATTATTATTTTACAAGGTTTTAATTTTTCATTTTGAACGCACGCGTTTTCGTTGCCCTTTTGCTTGCATAATAAAGTAAAAAATTTTCTTATTTAACGACAATCTGACCATTCAAATAAGATCAAGATTTAAAGTAATACAAGAGGAATGTAACAAGTTTTCCTTCCTTTGGTCTTCACAGAAATCTCAAACAGACAAAGAACTAGGTTTAAAAGCTGAGAATCTGGCAAAATGTTACCCAGAAGACTTATGTAAAAAAAAATTTTCTGATAAAGTTTTGCATTTTTTTTCCGTAAGAAGAAATATTCTAGGCAGCAAAAAGCCTGTCGAACATCTAAATGAAGTTTATGCAAAGGGATTGCATTCAATATTTCCACAAGTGTGTATTTCACTTAGAATTTTCTAAATATTACCCATTTCAACATCTGAAGGTGAAAGATCTTTCAATAAGTTAGCTACCATCAAAGATAATCTTCATTCCACAATGGACCAGGATTGTGCTACTTGATGATCCTTTCAATTGAATCAGATTTAGTAAATAACGTTTCTTATCAAGTAGTTATTTTTGCCGCTAAGAAGGCCAAAAAGATGCGTTCGATATTAACACTTGATTTTACCATAGTTTGTTTTTAAAAACCAAAATTTATTAAATGTGATTTTAGGTTTTCTATGAAAGTAAACAAAAACTAACTATACTAATTTATTTGGTATTTGTCATTATAAGACACGAATTATGATAGGGCATCCATTAAACTTTTGAACCCGGGCATCACAAAAGCTATGGGCGGGCCTGCGTGTTGTTGTGGTTGGAGGTGTTGAGTGGCGTCCCCATTTGAGGAGTTGAGTGAGGTCCTAAATTATGGAACATTCTATTAAATAAGAAACTGAATAAACTCTAATAAAAACTTATTAATGATGTTTATGAATTAATTTTTTTTTAAGTATTTTTTTGTTTTGTTTTGTTTCTTTTTACTTTTTTTTTTATTACTGTTTTTTTTACCAACTTTCTTTACAAGATCTTTAAATTCTTTAATAATAGTCTTTAAATTCTTTAATAATAGCCCTTAAATTTTCTTTAAGTTATCTTGTTAACTTACCTTTAGTTTTTTAAAAATAATCTAATTATAAATAATTAAATAAATAACTCATTATGATCTTGTGCTGGTATCACATCCATAGTTACATTTAACTGTTATTGTGACATCATCATATGATCATGATAAGATTAATACTTGATAACAAAACCTGAGAAACTATTGGTATCATAGTTACATCACATTGATCTTGATTTTTGACTAAAAATTAAAATTGTATTTTTTAGTCAAAAAATGAGATCAATGTGATGTTATTATCACCACAAAGTAATTTATATAACTATGGTTTTAACAGAGTGTTGATTTAAAGTACACACAATAACTATGGTTGTAACATCGTGCTGATTTAAGGTACACACAACAACTGGTTGTGACATCGATCATAGTGAGATAATTGATATCAATAATTTCAAATGGTTTGAACCATTTGAAACTATTAATATATTATCATAATAACATTGACCTGGGTCTTTGACTGAAAATAAAAATCAATTCGATTATAGTCAAAGACCCAGGTCAATTTAATAAAAATCAATTCATTTTAGTAAATTGCATAGCTGCAATCGCAACCGCGATAACGATTTTTATTTATAGCCAAAAATTAACTTTGTAAAATTGTAATTTTAGTCTAAAATTGCATCCACTTAAATATTTATATTAAAGTAAACTTTAACATATATACATTTAAGTTATACTTTATTATATGTATTTATATGGCTATCATTTTCAGTTAAAAATTGATTTGTAGTCGTATACTAGCAATAGGTGTGTATCTCATTACACAAATAAGCATATGATTATGTGAACATAATCTGATATCTTAGCTTGATACATTTTAGATATTATAATTATATCAGCAAATTAAAACCTTAAAGTTTAAAAATGCTCTATATATTTCAATAAACCCATTCATATAATTTGTTTACAAACGTTTTATTGCAGTGTTCATATAGCAGAAATGTCTGCTTTTGAGATAATAGCAAATATCTCTTTAACAATTGTTCTAGTGGAACTGTTTTGAGAAAATATAGTTGACTATACAGTCATCTGCAACTGATCATTTGAAAGTGACTAGGTTTTTGGTTGCCTCAAAAGCAGACAGTTCCGCTACGCTATGACAACCATTAAAACGACTACAGTATTGTAGAATGGTATAAAATATATTGTATTACAATCAATTATAATCTTTAATTAATATGGGAAATTGTTAAAATCAACAAAACAGAGAAATTGGCATGAAAGCGCAATTTTAGGACAGACAATTTTTTTTTGTTAAATGTTAAATTTAAGTATTCAAGTATGCTTTTAAGTGAATTTCATTTCACCGTGGTTCTACAAACACTAAAATTTATTAACGCAAGTTTTTTTGTCATAAAAAATCTTAAAAAATGTGTTGCAAAAAAAAATCGAAAATTCAAGTTTTTCAAAATAATCATAAAATTTTAGGTAAATGTGTAGAAACTTTGAAATAAATTTTGTATTATTTAAGTTTTGTAGTAATTTTTAAATTTTTAAATTCCGCAAGGGTAGGTTATTTCTAAATGTCACAGCTGTATTCTCAATATTTCCAGATATTTTACGTTTTTCACAAATAATTTAACAATTTTTTTTTACTTTGAAGCTCTGTTATTCGAAATCAGTATTCTTAATATATACCAACTAATTTTTTTAATGTTCTTTGCTTTATATTCAAATACTTAACTCCTATATATACTTTTAAATTTGTACGCAACAAAGCCAAAAAAACATATATGATCTTAGAAATGAAAAATTTATTTATCAACATAAATGGCGTACAAATTTCTCTCTTAAATGATTAGTTTTAAAATTTTTGATTTTTCCAAAAAGTGATTTTTTTTTTTACTTTCAAAAATAAACTGAGCAAAATTATGTTATCAATAGATAATATATTTGATTTCTTTTAATCTTTTATAATTTATGTATAGTTTTATAAGTTATTAAATGTAATTTGAAATATTTGGTTGTATTTTCTATTGATTTGTTAAACGACGTTTTATATTTGAAATACCTTACTTTATTTGTCTTGTTTACTTAGACGGTATTTGCCTTTCATTTTATATATTTTTTAAATAATTGGTTTATTTTTATTGTATTGTTAAACGGTTCTCGGTCACAGGATCTTACAATCATCTTCGAGTTTCCGTGTTCTTTTATATTACGTACAATAGGGTGACACAAAATAAGATTGAAAAATGAAATTTTTTGAAAATCAATAACCGCTGTTGCATATCCTGTTCTACAACATATAACTACAACAGTTAGTCTAAATACAAAGTTTCACTTATTTTTATTTTCAAATATTGAGGATTGGCTAAACTTTATGTCATTTTTTCGGGTTATAATATGTTTATAACTAAACTTTTGTTTAATCTTAGAAGAAAAAAAACACTGTTCATAGTTTTATACAGTTAGCTATTATTTTACATTAATTTTTCAAGTGTAGGTTTCAGTTAACCAGTTTCTAAAGCGACAAATCTTTTGTTATTAGCTTTCTATGTTCCCTGACTACCAGAAGAATGTTCTGTTTCTCATCCTTATGGTGGAAGCTGTGAACAAAGTTTTCAATTAAACTAATATTTCTTTCTGCGCAGTCGTTGGTCCCACTAAGATTGCAAACTGAGTGAAATGTGTGTATGAATCTAGCGCTAAGAAATTACTTGAAGTATGTCACTTTTGAACAGATTTGGTATAACCTGTAAGTATAAAAAAAATTCAACACTTCTTCCTAATTAAATCCTCTAATCGACTATCACTGGTAATAATGATAGCAGAAGGAGCTTCTACAAAAATCTCTGATAATCCAGAAACTGGAAACTTTAAAAGTTTCTCAATGATTAAACTCTAGGCATCTGCTTTCATATGAGGATCACCTAACAGTAGTACGACAACTTTAGGAGACAAACACCATGCGTGGTTACTCATGCTTTTCTAAAGTGAGTTTCCAACTTCATAATCCCATTCAGGGCCGTCCCGAAGGAGGGGTATCGGGGTGTCCCCCCCCCCCAAAGCTGTTATATAAGCATTTGAGTTGGGACATTGAGCAAGTTTTAAACTATAAAAATATGGCAAATTGGTTTTGTAGTTGGCAAATTGCATTTTTTTTTTTTTTCAAAAAGCATTTGAGTTGGCATCGAGCAAGTTTTGCTCAATGTGCCAACTGAAATACTTTTTGAGTTGGCAATTATTTATGGAAGACCTCTTCCATGGGAAGACCTCTTCGGGACTGCCATGATCCCATTCTGTTTTAATTGTTTCAGCAATTTTATATGCATTGAAATTATTGAGAACGGTATACTCTGCTATGCTTGATTTAAGAAAGGCAAGTAAATAATAAATAGCAAAAATAAATGCTACCCTTAAGACCATATGTTTTTTTTCATGAGTCAGATATTTAATGACTTTGGATGTCATATCAAGCATTAAAAAGTATATTGCATAGGCCATAAATCTTGCATTGCGACAGGCGTCAGGCTGATAGATCTGAAAATTATTTAATTTCTCAGATTTAACGTTCATGTAATACGCTAAATATTCAACAAGGTACTTAAATTCATTCCTAAAATATTCCTATTTTTATTTAATATCCTTTAAAATATATATTTATGAAAAAAACTAATTCATTTTATATTATTGTTACATACTGGGGAGGATTCCATATTCTAGTGCTTTATTTAACAACTTTTTAGACTTCAAATAGAGTTTGTAAAGATCACTGCCAGGTCTTGCTCAGGAAATTGTTTAAACTTTTCTACGGCACCATTAGCTGAAACTTTTCGATAAAATTTTGTTATCCATTTCCTCTGAAAATCTTTTAGCAACTTATTTGCTAGGGCTTTATCTGTTTCCTTTGAAATTGACTTAAAAGCCCAAGTAATATTTATCTCGGCAACATGGTGTCTACACAATAACCAAAAAAATGAAAAGAAATCTTGCCATAATAGTTATTGTACCAGATTTCAATCCAGTGTTACTTATATGGTGTCAGAACAAAATCCTTCAATATAGTCACAAATTTCAAAATATTATAGGAGATTCATAATACCTAATGCCATATCGATTTCCTCACCAATATCAATTGGCACAACACCAAGTAAAAGACCAGCTTTGTTTTCAAACTCTGAGCTAGTTACAGATACCGATAGTCTATCTGCAGTAGGGGCCAGCCTAGTGTCCTCCTCTATATGCTTTGAAAATTTACCATCAAAATGTAAAGCTAACATCTAATTTGCCATTAAATCATATATTCATTACGTATCTGGCCTCCTTCCTCTTCTAAAAATCTGTAACGTCGCCTTCTGACAGATTCTCTGTTTAACTTTAGTTGTTTAACATCTCCTCCTAAATAGTTTACTACGCTTGCAATAAGAAGGGTTTGGTTTTCTCCTTTTCTACTCTGAAGTATTCTGGTCTAAACTGATGCTTACTTTTTGAGCTTGCTTTGTGAAAGTTAATTTTCTTATTTGGGACAAAAACTTCCGATTCAGCAATTACACTTCCAGCATCTAAATTGAAGATACGATTATATTTCTGTTAGTTCTGTGCAAAAAGTTGTTATAACACTCGACAAAATAAGTTTGAATAAAAAAACATAATTTCTCAAAAAAAAAAAAGATTTTTACATTTGGGAAAAATTAGTAGATATGTCATTTCAATAGGTTAAGCCTTCGCAAAAAATTTTAAGCAAAATATACTTTTGATCATTTAAGAAGGCCAAATCCTCTTGTTAAGCAGAAGTATTACGAGGCATTGATTCACCGTGTCTCAACTTCTTCTCAAAGTCTTTTGCACTGACGTCAAACAATTGTTCTAACACATTGTAAAAGTCGTTTTTGTGGCATTCGGAAATTTGCTTTTTGATTTAAAAGATTTTACTATTGTACAAAATTTTGTATTTGCTGTATAGAGATTTAAACTTTTCCACTATACTTCTCTCAGAAATCAAGTAATTACTAAAACCAGCAGGCTTCCAAATATTTACAATTTGTCGGAGTAAACAGTATTTTTCGATATTTGAATTAAAAACTCGTCTTTCCCTTTGCATATAACATCCTCTCGTGCTCGAGAACATGAAAAGTTTGTTTAATTAGGTTTGAATTGCTTATCTCTAGCTGAAGATAGGAACAAGTAATATGTAAATATAAAAAAAATGTAAAGAGAAAAAAAAATCAAAGTTTAAAGCAAGATAATAAATCAAAAGTAGCCAAGTGATTAAACGCAAACAAAATTTATGCTGCAAATTTTTAAAAAAATAATTTTGAATGACCACAAATGTTTTAGAAACATCTTGACTTTTTAACACATGTTTTAAAAACTTGCTGAATGATGTGAAGATAATAAAAAAATGCGAAAAAATAAAAAATGCTTGCAACGTAAAATTTTCAAATTTACATGTAGCTCTTCCTGATCACTAAGGAATCTAAAATTTTTTTTTGTAGATTCCCTAAGTTTGGTAGAACCGTAAAATGTGCTGCGGCTTTTTCTTTTTTTTTTTTTTTAATTTTGTGTCACCTTAATGTACAACGGTATTTTCCCAGAAAATATTGTGAAAACAACAAAACAAAAAAAAGCAAAAAAAGTGTAAAAAGTATATATTAAACCAGTTCCTTTCTGATCATTAATGCGTGACAAAGTTGTCTTAAAACAAATTAAAAGTGCGTAAGATCAGATGCGTAAGATCATTGCGTACATCGAATAAAATACACTTACGTCAATTATGGGTTATGTTTTGGCAGGCGCTATTTAAACTAATAAAAAAATTATCCGATCAGACATCACTACAGTGATTTTAAAAGAAATTTGAAATTTGTTTGAACATTGAGTAAACATTTACCTTACATCTAACGTATTGATCTTACGCACTTTACGCAACATCTTATGTATCTGATCTTACGCACTTACGATTTGTTTTAGAAAGTACAATGCACTTAGTCACGCATTTTTTATCAGCTGGTTTAAACGTTTTACGTTTATTGTAGACCAAAGGTTAACTTTTGCAAAAGTGTGGAAAAACTCTTTTTTGTTTAGGCATTTGATGTTAGTCGAATATATTTTTAACTAATCATACTCAAAAAATATTATGTTATTATTTCAACTTGAGAAGAGTTAAAATAATAACATAATATTTATATGTGATAATGATATTTTCGTCTAAACTATTTATATGTGATAATGATACTTTCGCCTGTAACTTTAGTAGTATAATTAATAAAATTGTAAAACTTGGGGTTATACTGTTCAATAAGTTAAGCATCATTTTTTTTCATATGTTTTATTTCAGTTTTTTTTAATCAACATTTCATCAAAAATTGAAAAAAGAAACAAGCTATAAATTAAAACACTTACCAACTTCCATAGTCTATTAAATTATATTTGTTTCTTCATTTTATATTTATTTGATTTTACTTTTTTTTTTTTTTTTTTGTATCATATTTATATCATATTTTACATTTATTTTATATATTTTGTAATTTTGTTATACAATTAGGTTCATTTAATAAAAGCCATTTTATTTTAAAATTTTGATCATTTTTTGTATATTTATGTATTTTTTGTACATCCTCTAAAAAAAGAAAACATAAATAAATAAAAAACAATATTTTAAATAGTTTTTCCTATAATAAAAAATTTCAGTTAGAATCTAGTCAAACCAACGAGACGAACTGTTCTCATTAAATAATTTTATAAAAAGAAGATCTTAGCTCATGTTCAAATCCTTATGTTTTCAATGAATAAAGCAAATCATAATTTTAAAACGCTGAAAATTATTATGGAAATTATTAATTTGAACTTATTTGCTTCTCTGCTAGTGCAAAGCACTAAAAAATAATTAAAGTAACGTAAATATTTGGTCAATGCAATCTATGTTGTGGATTTATATGTCTACGCATGAATATAAGAAACATAATGAGATAAAACAACCATGGGTGCAAAAACGATGTAACTCCATTTTCAAAAATTGTTAAATTGTTCATAAGAATGAGAAAAAACTAAATAGTTTTGAGATTTTCAACATTTCCCAACTTATTGCATAGGCGTGTAATAGCTTAGTATAAAACGTATGTTCACTTTAAGTTTTGCCTTTCTATCATTAATACTAGCAACAATGTAGAAAAACAAAATGGTGGAATTATCTCGTTTTTTGCACCTGACAACTGAAATAAAACTTTTTATTGTTAAGATCCAATAAAATAAGAATTGAAATAAAAATAAGAATTGAAATAACTAAAGCACATCAAATAAGTTACATAAATGATACATTTATTTATTTATAATGTTAAATTTCCTGAAAAATTATTTGATAATATGTAGTTTTTTTTTTTTTTTTAATTAATTTTTAAAATAAAACTAAATCTTTTTGTTTTAAAACCATTAAATGAATACGATAGTAGACAAATAACAAACTATGTTTTCAAATGCATAATGTATGTCATTATTTATAATATTAAATCACATTTAAAAACTGTCTGTTGGTCTGTGAAGCTACCTAATCTCAGCTTCTTCTTCTGCAGCAGTAAGTTTTTTCAATTGCTCACAAGTCTGGAAGGTATCAGATTGAGGTTTTTCAAACTTTTAGTTAAAGTGTGTTACAAAGTAATGACAAAAATAATCACATGTAACTGTCGACTTTATTGCTTATTTTCCAAACTGTCATAAATAGCAGGCTTTTATATTTGCAGATAGAGTTCGTGCATTTTTTGCATATTCAATTCAGAAAACAAACACCATTTATTTTTATTTTCAGTTCTGCTGTAATGGAATGTTTGCTTTGGAAAAGACTTGATTTGAATGTATTTATTAAACAATGTCTTCAGGTATTATGTCGGGACGGTTTTTGTGTTTGCCCCAAATGTTTCTTGGAGCAGGAACACGTTTTCGCAACTGTTCAACAACATCAGTTCAACCCTTTTTTTCACTCACACCATACAATGAACAATAAACTATTTTGCATACCTTCATTGTTTCTTTTTTCACTTATTATATTGTATATACACAAATATGAACGCTTTGGACCATTGCCAGACTTAGGCCAAGTCTTTCAAATGCTTTTTGAACTTTTTTGAAATTTGAACTTGTCCTTAAATAAAAATATCTTGTTTTTTTTTTTTATTGCTTTCAGATTCACTTTCAAAAGTTATTTCTACTTAGTTAGAAATTTCTGCACTAACATTGAAGACGGAAATGTAATTTACGTTAGACCCACTGTTTGCGAAGAAAAAATTAGTACAACTACCTGAATCCTTTTATATACTCATCATAAAAGGTCATATTCTTACTTGTATTTAATAAGTTCTTTTAAGTACAGTATTTAAAAATGATAATAACATTATTCATTATATTACAGGAAGAAACTAAGAATATCTTGTATGTTTTTCAAAATAAAAAAAAGGATTTAAAAAATGTAAAGAAAATGTTTGAGAACTCATTCTGGGACACAAAAAAATTGAACTAAATCCAACTACTTAAATTCTACTCTTCAAGAGGCATTAGTAAGAATTAAATTAGAAAAAATGTAGATTGTTGAGACTTCTTATTTTTTTGAAGTACCCAAAACAGCACCATTCTATCAATTTTAATGAACACTGTAAATTGGTGGGACATCATATTGCTCTTAAATTGACGGATCCAGGAACTTTTGGTGGTGGAGAGGACGAAGGGGTATAGTTTAAATATTTTTGTATTTTATATCACATTTGCGTTTCCTAAAAAAAAAAGGTCGTCCATTTTTAAGATATTTTTGGATTTTCAAACACTGGTTTCGGGAGAAAGCATACCTCACCATTCATACCACTCCTTGAACCCGTCGCTATGTCCTTAGTCTTCAGGAGGAATATTGTTTTTAAAATTACTTTAGTTAAGTATTAAAGGAATACCAATTATTGTTAACGACTCTAAAAGTTTAGTTGAAATCTATCTGGATAATAGCGGAAAAAACAATACAGTAGTTTAACTAGGTCGGAAACGGTGTTAACTTAATCTTGTGCAGAATTGTCATATAAGTTTATCTTTTAATTATTCCTTATCTTTTAATTATTATTTAAAACATAGAAAACGAAAAAAATAGAGTAATGCCAGACATAACATGTACAATCATATAATGTCTAATATTCATAATTAACTCGAGATTGAGACAGCTTGATAAAAATCTCATTGGGAACTCTGTTCCTTGGCCAAGTCAAGAAAATTGAAACTGCTTTTAAATTGTTTGAAAACATTCCAAATGGGTCCTTTTTAATTGATAAGCGTGTGCATACAATAAATAATGACATGTTGGATGCAGGCGACATTAATTTTATTTCCAGATATTATAACTTAAAAACTGTAATTTTTTTTTGTAGTAAATGATGTTTATGAGTAGAGAATTTTTATAATGTCTTAAACAATTTTTCTTTCATAACCTTAAAATTTGATTAACAAGTTTCATTAGAGATTTCGTTATTTTATTGAATATATAATGAATTCAAAGTATTCGTATTAGATATATTGAAAAATTCGTATTAGATATATTTTAAAACAATACAAACAAATCTAAACAATATTTAGAATAAAAAAATTTATATTAACATTTAGTTTAATAATATTCAAAGTTACCCAAAATGCAAGTGTAACTTTGAATCCTCAATTGAACTTTGTTTTCTTAAAAAATAACTAGCAAATTAAAAGAATTGATAATAGTTTAGAAAAAGGAGATCACCCTTTATGCAAAAATATTTTTTTCAAATCAAAGCTCGAACAGGTACAGGTAGGAGATAACTCCAGTACAGGTAGGAGATAACTCCAGAGTTACTTTGTTTTTGCACTCAATGAAGTAAGGTAGTAACAGTAATAGTAATAATAATAGTAATACAAACTGTTGCAACAACTATTGTCGCGGAACATAAAATTTAAACTTTAACAGCCTTAACAAATGTTTATTTATTCTAGCTTTACTGATACCACTTTTACTGGCTTTGCAGATACCATTTTTTTAGGTAAGGGATTTCAATTAGGTGTTACTCTGTTTTTAATAAAATAATGTCTTAGGGTTGTTTTCACAAATTCCCTTTCAAACTTAATTTAATGACCTCTCAGACTTGGGGAAGAAGCTTTATGAAGCTCTTTATATCATAATATTTTACCAATCCCATTTTAAATACCAATAAGATCATCTCTTATACGTCTTATTTTCAGTGTTGTGAGATCCAACTTTTTCAATCTTCCAGTATAAATTTTATGTTTTAGTATAGTATATGTTTTATATATATTTAGTTCAGGTACTAACTCTGTTGCTTGTATTTTAACTTTTTCCAAATCATGAAAATCAACTGAAAATCAAGTGTGACATTATTAGTTATTTATTAAATAAAATATATAAAACAAATACAATATAAGTTTTAGTAAAAGATGAGTTTTTTATATTTTGTTCTTAAAACTTTACTTTTAAAAACTTTTTTTTACTTAAACTGATTTTTGTTTTTCTTCTAACTTATAAATCGCATTTCTTGAACTTTGATTTTTGATTTAAAATAACGTTATATAATTATAATTTTAATTAAATAATCATAATTT